CATCTCTTCCACACATAGCCTGGTATTTTCAGTGAGACTGTGTTTATGTTTTGTTTTGTTTGTTTTTTTGTCTTTTCAAGACAGGGTTTCTCTGTATTGCTTTGGAACCTGTCCTAGAACTCACTCTGTAAACCAGGCTGGTCTCGAACTCACAGAGATTCGCCTGCCTCTGCCTCCCAAGTGCTGGGATTAACAACATGTGTCACCAATGCCTGGCTGTGAGACTGTGTTTTGCCTGTGACACTTCATACAAGGTCAAGTGTGAAAGTTCCACTTGGATTTGTGGCTCACAGGTGCTCAGGTCTACGTAGACATGACCACACCCAAGAGAAATATGTGCATTCACTGCCCCCAAAGCATGCACCATGGTATTCTAGCAAGGCTATTCCCCATTTCCCTAAACGAATGACCCAAAATGGACATCAACAGGGGAATGAGTCAAACAAACCATGGTACTTTCCAGCAGCCAAGTACTCCCCGGCTGTGAAAATAATGAACTCGTTATAAAACAATGAACTAATGCAGCACGCAAAAGTATGAATGAACTTCAGGGAGATTATGTTGAGTCTAAGAACCAGCCACTAATGTGTGTAAGGAACCCGTGGTGTTCAGAAAGAGGTAAAACGAGTTAGCAGTTCTAGAAAAATGGGAAAGCTCTCCCCTTGTGCCAGCCTGAAGGTGGACTGCTGTGGAAGAGTCGTACTAAACACAAGAAGTCTTGAATTTTTCTCTATTCTGCTATAGATTAGTATCACAGGTATAAGCCCAAACGCATCACACAGAGATTACTCCATTTCTTAGATATGTCTATAAAGATATTTCTTTGAAAGTTCATTCATCACTGTGATCTAACCCCAGCAAGAGTGATAATACCAGGAAAATGCAGAGACATTTTCACCTTATTGTATAGCCACATCCATATAACTTTTCCACAGGCTTTGGCAATGTGTGTGTGTGTGTGTGTGTGTGTGTGTGTGTGTGTGTGTGTATCCTTTCAAAGACGTTGTCTTGAAGCCCACTTGGAGATGTTCTGAGGTGTGCAGTTTCTGGTGGAAATACCATTGCATGCTAGTCAGTTATCATGGGGCAATGACCAAACTGGGGATTATGACTCCCAGAGAACAGATGTTCTCCAAGAAAGACAGTTTTAAAAATTATATGTGTTTCTTCTTTTGGTCAAAAGAAAACATCAAAACCATGACCTTGATAGACTCCTTGTTTGTAACAGTTTGCATAAGAGATTTTGTACTGTCATTTGTAAAAGACTTAATTCAAATGAGCCAATACTACTTTTTCACTGGGGAGAAAGTGAGGGGCTTTCTTCTTTCAAGGCCAATTTATATTGAGCTGTATTTTTGTTTGTTTGTTTTGCCTTGCCTTGCTTTTGTTTTTGAGACAGGGTTTCTATGTAGCGCTGGCTGTCCTGGAATTTTCTCTGTAGACCAGGCTTCACAGAGAACTCAGGAGGTTTGCCCAAGTTCTGGGAATAACAGCGTGGGCCACCACCCACCACCACCCAGCTTATTTGGCCTGTTTTCTCCTACCTTCTCAGAGTCTCGGTTTCTACATATATAAAATGGAGATGTATTGTGTGATCTTAGAAGAGTTAAAATTAATTCTCTTTATGTAAGGGAAACTTAGAGTGCCCAGTCTTTCTAGCTTATCCATCATCCATTGCATGAATGTTTACTGAACATCTGGCCGGAGTTGCACACTTGACTTGGAGCTAGAACACAGTGAGCAAAAGAGAAAGTGGGCCCCAACTTCTTCATTCGTGGGGATTATGTTTGCTGGGGATTTCTGCATAGTGTTACTTCTGCTGCTCCAACAAATAAATCTTAACCTTAACCCCGCCCCCATCCCCATTGCTTATTAGGAAGTCCCAGAAGCGGTCTGCTTCCCTCAGTGAGCACAGCTACTCTATGAGCAGTTTCCTGGTCTTCCTGTAACCTTGCTGGCCTTCCAGATAGGTCAGGGGTTACACAGTCCCTAGGGAGCTGGGATAGTCTTTCCAGGAATCCCATTAAAATGCACTTATTGTTACAGGATCTTGGCTTGTGGAAAAGGTCTCATAAACAAACACCAGGTTATCTGAGGCTTGTCTGTGTGATTTACCAGTGACCTTTCACATGACAAAGACACGTGAGAAAGACCAGGGAACTGTGTCAGTCACTCTTGGCACGAGCCAGAGTCATTTTCGAGAATTCTGTCACTGAACCACAAAATGGGAACCAGAGTCATTTGCAAGGAGGATGAAGCGTTCTAGCCCTCTTAGATTCTACTCCTTTCAGAACAACAAAGACTACATAAAGATAATCCAGAAAGTAAACACTGGAACTGTGGATGGAGACTGAAAACACAAAGGGGAAATCCTCTCTGTGTTAAAAAAAAATCCATCAGTCTGGAGTAATACATGGAGGAGGGAGGCTGCACCTTGGCCCTTGTTTCTCTGACAAATGGCGAAGTTTTAAAATGGAAACAGAGACTTGGAATCTCAGGGGCTGATGTAGCAAACGCTGAACAGTGAGGACCAGCAACAAATAGGATAATGTTCTGGGGAGGATTATACGGGTTAAGAGGTAAAGTGAGAAGAAGCAAGCCAATTCTGCGATCCTGTAGAAGGAAAAGGTAGCTCGAGCGGGGAGTCTTTCCATCTGCCCTACTCATTCACTCATTGACTGAAGTAGCATTTGATGAGCCCATGTGTCTCGCACGGTGCTGGGCTCTGGGCTATGGAGAAAGCTCAGGTTAGAGGAGGTAGTTGGAAGCCACAGGGAGGTCCCTCTGGCTCCAGAGTCCACCCTCCTGTTGTTTGGAACCTCTATCCTATTGTTCTCTTGTTTTGTTTTTACCGTTAATCTTAGCTAACATCTTTGTCCTCTGGTGGAATGCCACTTCTCCTTTGATCTGGAGAACCTGCTTTGGACCACAATGTCCTTGGGATCTGGGAAAACCCTGTTCTCAAGCGGGATGCCTATGCCTTCCCTTCCCGGCCCCCATTTTCTCCTTAGTCTGTGTGGGTTCCTGTTCAAACTCTGATTCATTCTCTCTGGTGCCAAGTCCTCATCCTGGAAGTCTCCCCTGAAGATCTCAGCCTTCCCTCTGCCGCAGACACTAAGGCCTCCTTCCAAACCAAACATGGTGTAAGCCAGAGTGAAAGGCAGGAAGGAGACTCGGGAACCACAGACAGCATTCTGTGCTTGACTCTTCTCATTCCGAAGTCAAATTGTACTTGAAAGGCAAGAGACATGATTTATAGCAGAACACGGTAAAATGAAGGCCCTTGTGGGTGAATCTAATGAGGGGCCACAGGAAAATCATGTGTGCATGCCTGTGAAAACTCTAGGTGACATAGCATTGTGTCTTCCTGTAATTTGTATCATTCGCTCAGCTAACATTTAGCAAGTGCCTACTATGTGCAGCTCGCTACAGTGCTAGAAATGAAGTTCTTGTGGCTGAGCATGGTGATACGCAGCTGTAGTCCCAGCACTTGGGAGGTGGAGGGCAGGAAGATCAGGAGTTCAAGGCCGTCCTTGGCTGCACAAGGAATCCAAAGCCAGGCTAGACTGAATATATTCTCCCTTGAGAAACAAATAACCAGTAAAATCTAAGAAAATAGAAACCCTTGTTCTGGTAAAGCTGCTGTTCTAGTGAGGGAAATAGTCAGGGAACCCACAAGTAGGTACAATAAAACCTAGTTAGGCCAGGTAAGTGCTAAGAAGAAAAAGAAAGCAGGGAGTTAAGAGAGTATCATGGAGGGTTTGCAGCCTCACCTGAGGAGGTTAAAACGCCTCCATGAGAAGAGGTTTGAGTAAAGAAACAGGAAAAGCATTCAGATGTTTTGAGGAGACCGTTCCAGAGAACATCATGTACAGTGGGTGTAGAGATCTGGAAAACCATTGACAGGGAGGAGCACACGGTGGACTGAGGCCAAAGCCAGGGCAGTGGTGTCTGCAGAGAAGGCCCAGATTCACTTAGAATGAGAAAAAAGGAAAGTTCCCTGAGTTAGAGGGTAGAGCGGGCTTTGTTGGAGATGAATATGGGACCCCATAGCAGACAGGGCAGCTTTGGGACACTGGGATGCTCAGAACTGTGGGGAAGTGGGAACCTGGTGATGATGTCTGTTTCCCTGCATCCCCGGTGGAGATTCTGGCAATGGCCAATCTCAACAGAAGCCAAGGTCATGATAAGCTATGGTCTTGGCTTTGGCGACAAACGTGTGTGCTTTGTGTGAGAGAGGGCAATGGGGGTGGGACTTTCAAGAACTTCACGACTCTGTCCCTTTGCGGTCACAATTATATACCATGAATAAGAGGAAAAGGCATTGATGTCCTCTGAGTCTTTCCATCAAGATGTTAGGTTAAGTCCGGTTTTTCTGTTCTTCAGCATTCTCCTTCAATGGACCCAGTGACTTCAGTTTGAAAATTGTACCAATTCCTGTCATTTGAATTAGACATTGAGTACATTTTGTCTAGCATTTGAATTACTGGAGTTTGCTACGGAAAAAAAAACACATCAAAAACAATGACTACAAATAACTTTTTAGCTAATGATATTTCCCTGAGTGTTTTTAATGTGTTTTCACAGGATATATTCCACATTAAAGCTAATGATTTTCTGACTTTGAATGCATCTCGGCCCAGCATATCCGCTGCAGACTGAATTATGGTTTTCAGGCCAGATCCAAACTTCTCAGAGTCTTCCAGGATATATCTTTAAAAATTCCCAGAGCCCTTGCAAAGAGTGCTTGTGTGCCTTTGTGCACAGATGCTGTCCTTTGAGTTCCTGATCTCACTGCTGATGCTCCAGCAGTTGTTAGAAGCCAAGGTATTCTACATCTCCCTTTTGATTATTAAATCTATTTTCATTAAACAAATAGAACAGTTGTTCTCATTCCCATCATATGCCTTATTCCCAGCAGAACACTTTTATAATTCAGTTCCCTGGTCTTGTAGACTAAGAAATCTTTATCAAACAGTTTTCTCTTTTATTTTATTTTATTTTATTTTGAAACAGGGTTCCTGGGTGCTGGGACTAAAGGCGTGCGCCACCACCACACCCGGCTAGTCAATTGGTTTTCTGAAAAAATTCAATGATCTGGCTGCGGCAAAAATGGTGCATAGTCATAATCCCAGCATTCCGGAGGGTGAGGTAGGAAAGCTGAAGGCCAATCTGTCTGTAAAACAAGACTATATCTCAACAACAAGAAAAAGAAACTTACTAGTCTGTTATTTCTAAACGACATGTAATCTGGATTTTGATGTTGCTATTTTGTTTTAATCCACTATCACCTTGCTTTAAGAATGGTACATTGATGTCCTTGTGGGTAATAGGTCCTGTGGTTGCTCATCTAAACACACAACCACTGAGCATATGTGTAGGTATTCTTGCTTATTACACAGTTCTCTAAATGGGGGGATGTGTGAACAGTGTCTCAGAGTCTCTTGATCACCAAACACTTTCAGATACTGATCTGGGTTTTGAGTATGGAATACTGTAAGAAACAGCATCTACTTGGAGCAAGCAATGTAGGGACTGGGTTAGATCCTTCGTGCGTGTAAGGGTGAGTACCTATCTCCGTGGTCTCGGGTGGTCTCCTCAGCCTCGTGGGGCTGCAGTGTTTTCACTAGAAGCATGAGAGAACTGGCCTGTAACCAAAGAAGCCATCAGGGCTTTAGTGCTAGTTCATTTCCTCGGTAAGCCATTCACAAACCAGGCTGCAGTTTTACATGCCCTTCTGCATCAGCGGGGACTTAGGTGGCACGTCTGCTCATGCTGTCCACCTTGGCCTCTCCCAAGCCTGGGGGGTCTTCTGGATTAAACCCCATCACTGTGGTGATGGCTGCGCAGCCTGTGAACATGCGAAGAGCCGCTGAACTGCACGCTCTCACTGGGTCTGACTAAGTGGACGGACGGTATGCGTGCTGTGCATTATAGAGTGAGGTCAGAATCCTTTGGTTTGCAGAAGATAAAACCAACCCAAGCAAGAAAAGACAGCAGCCCACATCAGCGCACGTTCCCATACCAGATGACCAGGAATGACTGGATCATGTCTCACACAATGACATTAGGCCCACATGTGTGGTCTCCTCAGCTCCTGCCTCCCTATGATGGCTTCCTCTCAGGACACTTGCTCCTCAGGCAGCCTCTGGTGGTGTCCAGCCTGAGGATTTACCAGCTTACCACCATGCACAGGAGTAGCTTCCCCATAGTTCCAGCAGAAGCTTACAACTGAATGTTTCTGGCTTGCTCACCCGGCTAGCAATGGTACCCAACGCTCATATGATACTTCCTGTGTACACCCCTGCTCTTAAAACACCGGGCTGGTGAGACTCTAAAACACGACAGCTTCACACCGTGTGTATTTCAGGCTGAAGGAATCACAGGCACCATGGAGGTTAGAATGACCTTTCCTCCACTCTTCTCCCTGAAGCAGGTCATAAGCTGAGCATCCTATTGCAAAAGATAAGGTTATACGTGGAAGAATCCAGCCCGGCAGGCCTTGTGGCATTCCCTGGGTTATCTCAGATCCTTTGCCTCTGTCTTATTTCCACACAGCTACCCACATTTCAGCAACTACTTAAAGGAAAGAAGAAAAAAAACCCACTCAGTTCTGATCATTTCTTTCTTAAGAAGGTCCTGTGTTCTATAACTCATACTCAATAACAGGCGCTTTTATTAACCTGTATTACAGGAGCTCTAGCCAATGCACCAAAAATGGGTGCCAAAAAGCAAAAGAGACAAGCAAAAACAAGTTGTTTTTTTTTCTTTTTCTAACACCACTGAGAGAAGAAGATATTGAGGCAACCAGAGGTTGAGTAACCTGCCCAGGGCGGCACACAGCAATAGCAGAGCTGGGATTTAAAATTCGGGTAGTTTGGTTAGTTTATGGTCTTGGCCTTAAATGCTATATTGTGTTTCTAGAACTCAAGAATGGACTGCTTGGCTTAGCCATTTCTGGAGCAGATTCAGTATCGGCCACTATATTCTTTTAGACCCTCGAGGACAGCCGTCAATGTGTGTGGGGAAAGGTTCCATACATTTATACACCACTAATACAAAATGTATGCCAGATTTATACATATCCCCTCAAATGTTAATGACCCCTAGAAGCAGGTTTGTGGCCACCTTCAGCTTCAGACATTACAGCGATTTCTGTAATGTATTCTCCTTGACGGAACATCACTCTGACCACAGTCATTTGGGAAAGAAGCTTCCAGGTTTGCCAGGAAAACTAGGAGACAGGCCTCTGGACCCTAGAGCTGGAAGTACCATGCTAAGATTGTGGCCTATCCCAAAGAAAACCATTCCAGTCACTATGAGAAAGGACACAAAGTAACTATTTGGTGTTCGCCCAGCGACTGAAAGAGCAAAGGGAGGCTCCAAATTATCTCTAGAGAATAAGTCAGAACAAATGAATGTAACATGCCCATTGTCTCTAGAATAAGTCAGAACAAATGAATGTAACATGCCCATTGTCTCTAGAATAAGTCAGAACAAATGAATGTAACATGCCCATTGTCTCTAGAATAAGTCAGAACAAATGAATGTAACATGCCCATTGTCTCTAGAATAAGTCAGAACAAATGAATGTAACATGCCCATTGTCTCTAGAATAAGTCAGAACAAATGAATGTAACATGCCCATTGTCTCTAGAATAAGTCAGAACAAATGAATGTAACACGCCCATTGTCTCTAGAATAAGTCAGAACAAATGAATATAACATGCCCATTGTCTCTAGAATAAGTCAGAACAAATGAATGTAACATGCCCATTGTCTCTAGAATAAGTCAGAACAAATGAATGTAACATGCCCATTGTCTCTAGAATAAGTCAGAACAAATGAATATAACATGCCCATTGTCTCTAGAATAAGTCAGAACAAATGAATGTAACATGCCCATTGCTGTTGAAGCCGGGGACTGGGCTTAACAAGTACCTGAGTTTCAGAAAAGGAAGAAGTAGGTTTAGAGATGGAAAAGGGGGTTGGTGGTTTCTGATACATGCATGAATATTTCTAAGCTGACAGATACTCATCATGTGTGTTTTTTTTCAAAGTATGGTTCGCAGATCACAAGCAACAGGATCACCCATGATGTGTTTTTTTCTTTTGTCTTTTCCTTTTTCCCACCCTCCTGTGCTTTTTGAGACAGGGTCTCACTATGTATCTCTGGCTGTCCTGGAATTCACAATGTAGCCAAGGCTGGCTTTGGACCCTCGGAGATCCGCCTGCCTCTGCCTCCCTAGTGCTGGGATTAAAGGTGTCCAGCACCACCCCTGGCTCTTGTTAAATCATAGCCCCATGTGACAAGCCCAAGCATCCGTATCCGAAAACAAGCAGCTTGCTCATCCTACTTTTCACTGAAGTTTAAGAGTCGCCACCATCGTGGCTGTTGGAAAGTGGCGAGGATGTTAAATGACAAGGGACCTTCAGGGTATTAACATGCGTCAAAAGCAGCATCCACGAGGACAGCTTCTGTCCTGGGACGCTTGCAGGCCTTAGCAGTCGCAGCGACTTTTACCCTGTGGTGTCCCCTCTGTGTCTGCACCTGCTCATTCTCATGTCCAGGCGTTACTGCCTGCTCTAGTTTGTCCCTCTGTTGCTGTGATAAAAACACTGACCCAAACCAGTTTGGGGAAGAAAGGGCTTGTTAAGTTTACACTCCCCAGTCACGGAGGGGAATGAGGACAGGAACTCAAGGCACAACAACCGGGAGGCTGGAGTGGCGGCAGAGACAGTGGGAGAGGGCTGTTTGCCGGCTTGTTCTCCACACTTAACCTGCTCTTTTATAGAACCCAGAACCTCCTGCCTGGGGTGGAGCTTGCACCTCTCATGATGGCCTGAGCCCTCCTACATCAACCATCAGTCAAGAAAATGTCCCCACAGACTTGCGTATTGGCCCATCTGATGGAAGCATTTTCCCCACTGAGGGTCCATTTCCCCAGGCGACCTTATCTTGAGTCAGGTTGACAAAAAAAAACAAACAAAAAACAAAAAAACCTAATCAACACACTGCCTAGATTCATTGTTAGCTCTCAGAGCAGAACGAAGAGTGGTCACCAAGCTTCCCTCAGGAGGTGCGCACACGGGAAACCTGCTCCCACGAGCTCTAAGCTACAACCAAGCACCAGTTGTGCTAATGTAATCATTGATTAGCAAGAGTTGCCTGTTCCCTGGTGTTCTTTCTACTGTTCTCTACTGGCACTGTCCCATTCTGTTCTCCTAGTCACCTCAGGATGCTGGGTGCTGGCAGGGTCTCCACCTCACACAAGGAGATTGAAACCCATTATTATTGTCCCAGGTCACAAAAGAGGGGCAGCCCAGGTCTATTTCACGTTAAAGCCTGTCTCACTCAACCTTCGAACTAGGTCTCAGACTCTCAGTTAGATTTTGTCCTCCCCAAGACTGAAATCGTTGACTGAGGCAAACCCAAGTTGCTGGGAAGAGCCCAGGCCTTGCCACCCCGGGAGATCTAGCTCTTTGGAGTCAGGCTCCTATGGCTCTGGTACTGGCCACCTAAATTCAGAAACAGAGGTGTTTCTGTTTTACAGGCTTATGTCATGGGATTGACGGACTACACTAGCACACCTGGCTTTGTTCTTAGATCTGTGATGCTGTAAGGGCAAGTTAATTGCCACCCTTGGCCTGCCTTGAAAGCCTTTTTGCTAGGTAAAGCCGAGAGAAGCAACATTCAGGGAAGACTCGGCCACAGCGTCCTGCCTGGAAATGCACAGAACCACACCACACACTTTAGCTCAAATTCAGGCAACCAATTCAGGCCAGTCTGTGAACTAGTTTAATAGGGTATTAAAGGATACATAGGCTCAGAAATCCTCAGAGCAGATGGGATGCCATGCTTTAACCCTTTCCATATAAGGCAATGCTGCCTGATCCAAACCCACTTCCTAGATTTACCTTTTCCCGGCATGCCATGAGGTAGGGGCCAGGTAAGGATCATCACAGGCATCCAGTAGTCACATTCAGGTTTGGGAACCAGGCCACCCCGGCTGAGAACAGAAGAATCACAAACAGGGAAGTGGGGGGTGGGGTGGGAGGCAGACTCTGCCAGGTTGCTTTATTTGGCTTCAGTGCCCAAACCTGAATTTTACTGCAGTCCCAAAGGAGTCTCATTCTGGTTTGGGTGTGACTAGGGAAGCCCGGGACCTTAAGGCC